TGTCACATTATAAAGGTTGTGACCAAAAATTATGTAAATAGAAGAACAATTTATATTTTAAATTTAATTTTAAAAAAATCTTTACACGCGTGGAATGCGCGACATCATATGATGTCGTTCTTAAATTTGTTCTTACTTTTAACGTCATATGACGTCCCTAGATTACATTTGATCATGCAGGAACGAAGGCTGTCTCATTATAAAGGTGGTGACCAAAAATCATGTAAATAGAACAATTTATATTTTTAATATAATATTAAAAAAAACCTTACACGCGTGGAATCCGCGACATCATATGATGACATTCGGCCAGCTGCCCTAACTTTTAACGACATCATATGATGACGTTCGTCCGATAAAGGTTAATACTGTCATTTTCTCAGGGGAACATAACTGTTGATATTATGTAAGTTAATTTTTTACTACCTATACTATTTTGTTATTGGCGCTTTAAATTTCTTATTGATGAGTGTGAATTAAAGACTGAACATCATCATGACATTTTTATGACATGATCTTCCTGTCACATCCCCTAATAACTGAAGTAGAACACACTATATAACAATGACACTTATGAATACTTTGGTTTATTCTAGTGACCTCTAAATTTTTTGTGCTCCTTTATCAGTGCACAAACCTTCACTCCTTATATAACCTGATTACTATATGAATGGTGCTCAGTATAGGACCATATTTATTGAAGAAATATTTCATTACAAATAAAGGAACATGAAACATATTTTGGAGAAAATGTTATTTTTGTGAGTGATGGTTCAATGGTTGCATTCCTTATTTGGTTTATATCATGTGGTGAAGTTACATATCATGCAAATGATGTCTTATGCTGATTTATTTGTGCAGAGGCACATGTCTATAGTAACCAGGTTTGTACAAGAATTTACTTGCAGGAGGGATGAGAGAAATGACCTTTGAATAAGTAATATGCAGCTGAAAAAAATAAAACTTCAGTTTATGATTCATCCTTAGAGAGTAATGGTGTATGTGGTCTTAGGACTGTTAAATGCTAGGGCAGCAGGTTTGAATCTTACCTAGGTATAATCTCTTAGTGTACTTATTGCCATAGTCTGCTGTACAGTTCGGGATTTCTGTCATGGATGGTTGCCCTACCCCATGCAGATAATCTTATGGCAAGTGGCCCCTAAGGCTGAACTGTGGAAATTATGAAAATGCTCAAGATAAATAAAGACTTTGTTTCATGTACATGATTCAGCTCAGTTCCTCAGTCTTACTGGCAAAAGGCTAAAATGTCCTGAAACATCATTCATTTCACAGACATCAAAATAAAAAATTTTCTATTAATAAATATTTTCCCCCTGTTTTGTCTCTATGTAAGCATATGATAATTTATTTCATTAATGTGAAAACAGAAATGAAAACTTAGATTTCTTTGTGCAAGTTTATGAACTGAACACTGCACAACTTTGAAAAAATTCATGCCTTCTACTTGTTTTGTGAGACTGTGAAACATGATTTCCTTCACTGAGAGAAGAACATGTGTATATTTCAAGTTTATGGAAAGTACTGGGTCCAAGAGAGGTGAAGCAAGATGGGAACTAGGGATACTGTATAATGAGGAATTTCATAAGGTAAGCAGTTTGCTTAGTATATAATAAAGTGAGGGACCATAATGTGTGCTGATTCTGAAATATCACAGCAGTGACTCTTCTATTTGCTGGAATGCCAGTCTCTAAGTCTGTTATGTCTTTGTCTTGCTCACTGCTCCCGTTTTTTGCGTGATTGTGCTGATTCCCCACTTGAGCATCACAGTAATTACTGTTCCATATACTGGGATGTTAACCTGTCATCACATGTCATGTCTGTGTCTTGTCCAGTTGGATCCTGATTCTCCCTGAAACCCAGAGAACCAGACATATCATTCTTTTCAGATGTACGATAGCTCTGCTCCTGAACTTCAGCTCCGAAGTACTTATCACCTGTATTCCCTATCTGGAATTTTGGCCCTCTTGAATTATCTTCTTCATACTTCCTACATCCATTATAACTTGAGTCTTCTGGTATTTCATCTCCAGACATGTCTGCCTCTCCCTCTACTGTGAAACTGTATTTAGGTTTTGGAGTTGGCATTCTTCTGTTCTTCAGTCTTGGATAGCTTGTTACTGGCGAACTGGTCACTGAATGTAATGAGATAAAATACTGCAGTCTGTCATCAGACTTATCATCAAGGTCCTCGTGTATCTTGAATCTTGCACCTGCACTATACGCACGTCTCTCTCTAAATCCTGGCTGGTCCCTGTAATCATGCATCAGCACTTCAGATTGCTCATTGTTTTCGGATTTGTGTCTCATGTCGCCATGTAAAACAGGAGAGACTTGATCATTGTTTTCGGATTTGTGTCTCATGTTGCCATGTAGAACAGGAGAGACTTGATCATTGTTTTCGGATTTGTGTCTCATGTCGCCATGTAAAACAGGAGAGACTTCATCATTGTTTTTTGGAAGAAAGAATTTCCTCTTGATTATCTTTATTATCCAGGCTACAGTCTCAATAAGAAGAATAAAAGCTGCAATTCCAAATCCAGCACCAAGGAGAAGAAACATTCCCGTTGCATCTTCTGGAGTCAACTTTCGTTCCTCTGCTCTTGCAGCTCGTAGTGATGGTCCACTAGAAGCCTATAAAAGAAAGCAAAAAATGTTTGATGTGCAATGTAATAAGCTGGAAAGTCTAGGCTTTCATGGAAGGATTATATGAAAATAGAAATTTATAAAACAATAATGGTATTTTAAATTAAGGATTATAAATTTGGACCATGTATAATGTAGATGAAAGTATATTGACAGCCTTTATATTTACTTACATGCCTAAGTTCTAATACATCTACAACACAACAAGACCATGTAGTTGCAGCTTATTAGGAGGAATACAGTTGTTCAGAAATTATAGAAGGTGCAGTCAAGAAAAATAAAAATTAATTTAGAACTGGAACGATTGATGACAGAATAAAATGTTTAACTGGACCCCTGCTGAGAAGTCATAAATTATAACACATAGTAAAATGTTCAGAATTGGTTTATAGGAGCTAATGGAAGCAAGACGCACTTGAAGTGGGAAAAATGGCTGGAGTGGACATCCTAAATGCATTTGTCAGTAAACAATTTAAGTGGTGTTAACCTGCATTAGAAGTAATTTCACACATATGGAGGATGGAAAGGTAATATAATAACAATTTCAGATAATCTGTCAAACCAAATTTTTTCATGTACAATATCAGGTTGCTAACCATTATTAGGGTGAGCGTGGTAGATTTAAAATGTTAAGATAATACAGGTACTCCTCAATTTATGTGCTAGTTTATGTTCAAAAGAAGAAGTCTAAGAGGGTGAAACTGCATAAATTGAATGTATTTTCTTTTATTGCTAGTGGGGTGGGACTAAGTCCCTTGTACTGTGGCCCCTTCTGGCCTATTGTACCAGCCCCAGATGATAGGTGAGGGTGACTGTGGAGCAATTGGTGGAATGAAGATTGTCAGGGGAAACCGAAGTACTCAGAGAAAACCTGCCCCAGTACCACTATGTCCACCTCAAATCCCACTTGACAAGACCCGGGATCGAACCCGGACCGCCACAGTGGGAAGCCAGCGACTAACCGCTTGAGCTATGGCGCAGCCTAAATTGAATGTAAGGAAATGCACAACTGGAGATATGCAGAAAAATTTTCTTGGCTAGGCCAAATTTTTCCTGCTCCTCTCATGTGCCTCCTCCATTACCCAAATAATGCTCTACTCCCTTTTCTCTCCACCTCTTGGTCAGCCAGCAAACAATCTGAATTAAATTGAGTACTAATAACTGCACCAAATTATTACATAGTTACATACTGAAATTACGCATGCCTTATATGTTTACTATAGCTTCTCACACCAAACAAGTTGGCTGGTACAATACTTTTGAATTGCATGTCCCTATTTCAAATCTCAGTCAGGACACTGACTATCTTGGCTGAGGTTCTTCGTGGTTTTCCTCAGTCCTTCAAGGAAGATGCCAGTACAGTACCTTATATCAGACTACAACCCTCCCTTTCACATTTTTCAAGTTCGTTCTCCATTTTCATTCATTTGTTTGATGCTGTATAGCTTGAGCTACTGACAGAATTGTTAAATAAGTTATTAATAAATAAAAATAAAAAATACAACCTTTTACATGCTAAATATCATTCAGATCTGTTAAGTGGGTCTGAGATATATATGCAAACAACAAGGTGTCCACTTCATGCAAGCACTCACTGCAAGTAATTTTCCAGATGCTGAACGCCGCAAGTCCCACTCCATATCTCGCTTTAGCTTCCTGTAGAGGCCACTTTGTATGATGCGTAACATCATCTGACTCATCACACTGCTGTGTGGTGACTGTGGTGGAAATATGAGCGCCACATTGAATGGCACAAAGCAATTTGTCCCCAGATGCAGGTATGAGCGCTTGCCTTCAGACCTATAGCAGTGAAGAATGCATGATGTAAGAGCTCGTCATAAAAAAATGATAACACAGGTAGACCCATAGTCATACACCATTAACAAACCACTAACTGATTGAGTAGCTGACCAATTAATTCAGTAGCTATAAAATCAGAAGTTTCGGCATCAATTCCGTCCGCCTCCCACCCTCACATAGTAATATGTTATTCCTCTCTCTTTCAAATTTTAAATAATAATGTAATTCCTAATCATGAAGTTTCTAACCACCAAATTTGTGTATGCAATTCACATATACATAGTATACGCTATGTGCGCAGTGTATTGCAACCTCCTAGAATGCACCACCCAAGGTGACCTGTATAAATCATTAAGTTCAATGTTAAGGTAATCATCATTTATCACCTGAAGTTCAAATATTTTCCTGAGGGCTTTGTATTCAAACACTTATTATATGTATTTTTCATTTCAGAGTCATACAAAATAAGGGGAAAACTAATTGTACCTTGGTCTTTGATGTTTTTGAAAGTAGACAGGATGATGACCAGTCCTAAACTGAATAATAACACAGATTTTCTGAATTCATTCCTAATTTTAAGTTATTGAGGCACTAGAGAAATCAGTATGACCTTCAGGAAAATTTTTCTCCTGACAAATATTTGTAGCTGAGTCATCCTGAAATAGGAATTCCAACCAGTTCACTGTCTGCATTCATTATGATGTGTACCAACCTCTGTGTGTAATTTGTATTGATGATATAGTCCAGGAGGGACCAGGAGCCCAGGAAAGCATAGTCACGATAGTAGGCTGTGGTGATATTGTACAGTGCAGACTCCAGGTCAGGCAGATATTCCATCTTCTCGAAGAGCTTTGTGGTGGCTGGGTCAGCAGAGTCATTGAACCAATGGCGCCATCCTCCATCACCTTCATGTAAGAATATATTTCTAGCTCTTACTGCAAGTAGTTGAGGCTTGATTCATAAAATACAGGGGATCCCCAAGGAATGTGACCACTTGGAAGACTATGAAGGTAATGGAAATATGTAGGTTGGAGGAACAGCGATGGATATAACTAACTCAGAATCACGTATAAGCAAGCAGTGTTAAATCTTTGGGTCTTATTATCAGGGAGTTTGTACACATACATACATTCAAACATGGGCTGAGTAAAGACAAATAACCAAATACCCAGCCTCCTACCCAATGGGTAAGAGGGGCTCTTTTCCCAGGGGTAAAGCAGCCAAGGTGTGAAGCTGACCACTCTCCTCCAACTAGTGCCGAGGTCAAGAAAACGTGAATCTATACATCTACTCCCCCGTACACCTTCATAGCATAGTGCTGTTAGTTAAGCACAGGGACAAAACTAGCCCGTCGGACTTACTGATGTACATAAGAGTAACATGGGAGTGAGGGGCAGGGAGGGAGGGATATGAAAAACCAACACTAAAATATAAGAAAACATACCAAATATTAATATCAACAATTAAAATTAGTTCTAAATGTGGTACCATCTGCATTTCATATAGAGACAATTCTGGGGTGATCTGTAAAAATATTCTTAAATTACTTGTATGCAAATTTATAAGCAGATTCCCCCCCTTCCAAAATTGCCCTGGAAATGCTCATAATGACAAATGCATGAAACTAAGAAGGCTCTAGATATACAAACCAAATTTTAGTTTTTTTAATTACACTGTCATTTTATTTTCAGTTACTGCCAAACACTGTTTAAAATTTAACACCACTCATCATTAGGTCTTTCTGTCACAGTTTTCCAAAACTATATTTAAGAATACTGGACTAACTCATAATCATGAACAATCTGTTTGTAATATTGTGTCTCCAGAACTATTATACTGAATTTGGTATTATGTGCCTTCATGGTTTTGATTGACTTTAACTGTTGATCTAACTGAATTAACTGCCTGACTGAACCAGTATCTGACAAATGACTGATTGATGAATAAATAGCTGACAGCATAACTGACAGATATCCTAACTCATGCATAAAGTGGCTAGCTGAGTAACTGATTCACTTACTGACTAATTCCATTTTAGTCTACCAAGTGATTTCTTACTTGTCATTTTCTGGTGTCTAAGGAAATGGATCACTGGTGTTCAAATCTCAATAAAAGTTAGGCTATATATTTTCATCATATTCTGAATGGCTCAAAGACATGCTTAACTCCCTCTCCAATAGGTAATGAGAATTATTTTCCTGGAGATAAAGTCAGCTGGAGTAGAAAGCTGATTACTCATCTTCATCTAATGACCAGTATGGAGTTTTAACTTGGTATGCATGTTAAAATAAATGGAATGCTTTCTTCTGAACCCTATCAGTGAACTGCTTGAGTTTGTCAACTTATCTGCCATTTGGTTTAGGTAGAGATACCAGTACTATAGATACTATTTACTACTTTTCTTGAAGCTCAGCAAAATGAACACCAGGATACTGAAGACATCCCCAGTTTGCAAATTTTTAACTTTCTGTCAGCTACCACAAAGCTCTGGCATCTCTTAAAGAAGAATCAAAGTAACTGAAGCATTATATCTCCTAGGATAGTAATTTTTACTATACTATTTGTTGTTTCAGCAAAATGTTTTCATAGGAGCTATAAGAAATATTTTATGTGACTGCTACAGGGCCATTTAAGTACTGCTGCAGTGTACAACTAGTATATTTCTAAACACAGGATTGAGGGGCTAAGAATAGGGGAAATAACTGTATGATGACTGCATGAGACATATGTAACTAATGAATATGACTTTTTAATTTGTTTTTATTTAACTATATACATCTCTGGTAACAGGACCTGAAAGTTCAAGACTACTAATACCAAAGCCTGACGTTTTGTATGATTCTAAGCCATTTCCATCCACCTAACATTCTCATAACTTATTTCTCTATGAACAATCTTAATGTTATCCTCCAATTTGCTTCTCCTCCAAATGACTGCTTTCCTAGAACTCTCCTCACCAAGATTCTGTGTTCATTTCCCTATTAAACCTTCATGCCTAGCCAAATATGGCCTTGCAAATTTAATTCCTCTACCAGTACTAGATGACTGTAAACACATCTAATCATGTAAGATTTGAGGTTTTCACAGCGGTGACTATGAAGAAAGCAGTCTTCTGTTGCACCTGCTCACACTGGTTCGCTCACGGATTTCTTCTTGTTTTCTACCCTGAAGATGGAGGCGATATGTTCCTCCGAAATGTCAGTTAACACAATATCTACAAGGCACCACATCCCAGTTGACTGCTTTCTTCACATCTAATCATATTAAATCTTGAGGGTGTAATATTTCATAGCCCTTAGTGTTCCATTCAAACTGGCACTACTTGTTTGTTGCAAGACTTACTGAGAGTCCCAACTCTGAAGCCACGATTTAGCACTTCATAACAATTATCCGCGAAGGATGGGTAGAGGGGTAGAGTCACAAATGCAATGATGGAGCCAGTGTAGCATGCAGATATGATGATGCTGAAGATCCAGTACCACCCTGACACACATACAGACACTTGTACAAATACACAGTGATCAGTGTTCTAACAGTATTGTAGTTCTGAGCAGATACAATTTGGGAAATACTTGTACAAGCAAAGATTTCACTTGAAATATTTTATATTTTCATCACCTCCTCAACAGTATGTGCTTCAGTGGAGTATATATATTTTTAAATTTAATTAATTCCTTCTAATTTTTCAGACCCACCAGCCTCTGTTCATTTATTTTACTTTACAAATTATTTCCCTTTTAGGATAAATAGTGTTCTAAACATAGAAAAAAGGAAAAAAATAATTTAGTGAACCCTATTTTATTTTATATTGAACTTTTATGTTGAGAAATCAATGAAGTTTGATTTTAACTTGCAAGACTAATGGACATGAATGTCCTCTGTAACATGTGTTCATAAGGATGCATAAGACTATAAATATTACAGTAACTGAACAAAGTTGTAATTTCACATCTAGTTTTATACTGGAGTGATATGTAGTCTCTTAATGTTGTATTTTAGCATCCTGTTGCACTGATTTTCTTCCATGATATGTATACAGTTGCAGCTAAGAAGGGAACACACACCACAAGACACGGTTTACACAGAATATAAGAAAAATGACCCCCATAGTGGAAGAACCACACGCAAGTTTTAATTGTGACACATAAGATGAATAATGTTAACAAGTTTTAGTGTGTGTAAATTTATTGTAGTTGATGAATATGCACTTTTTAAATAATTTTATAAAGGCAAGCAATGAAATAGATTAGTGTAATTAGGGCACCTGATGATGGCACTATGTTGCCGAAACATGTCATGAAGTAACAGGTGAAATTGAGTGCACTACAAGACAGCAACTGTATACATATCATGGAAGAAAATGTAGTCTCTTGTTTGAGAAAAAAACATATAGACTGAACTTGGCTGAGAACAAACTTCTGGTAATGAGAGAGCTGAAGTATTGGAGTAAAAAGAAAAATTACACCATGTAGAGCTTCAGAATTTATATTAACCTAATTCTGTTCAAGCAATCAAATAAGCAGGTGAGAGGAACGGGTCATGTAAAATGTAGGAGGGGTCCAAGAAATGTGTATAACTTACATGTAATTACCTAATTAATTAATTAATTAATCAGACCAAAACTACCAGATGGATGGTTTACAAAATCATAAGCTTCTCTGTAATGCAGAATGGTATGGGGCCCATACCATAATCTTAGGTATCTTGAGTAGTTCAGCTGAACAAGTTTCCCAGGAATGCAGAGTTCACTCACCAATAAGCATTCTTGTGGCTGCTTTGTCAGAGTTGTTCCAGCTGCGATCTCCCTTGAATGTGAAGCAGTTGGTGAATGTGCCAAATACATACCAGAACATATTCTCCACCTGCCAGGGGTCTTTCAACAGGTGTTTTAATGAATGGCTGTTAGAGAATGCAATGGGGAAAATGGCAAGCAGGTAAGTTAGGGTGAGAGTGAGCCACACGGTCCAGTGGAATGGCCCCATTATGGCACGATACCTGCAAGGAGGAGCAGAATGTGACATTTCTGATGTATGAGTGGGTCAAAGTGACTGATAAATGTCTTAGTGGAGAAGCTGACTGAGTAGTGTCTGAGGGAGTCAAACTGACCTGCAAGTGTCCAGATGGGACATACGGACTGATGAAGACCTGGCTAGTATATACTGGTATGTGAATGCTGAATGGGACATTTGTAAGTGACTGAGTGGGCAAATGTGCAGGTACCACTATCAGATGTTACCTTGGCAATGCTGTAGAGGTGAGTGTCATGAAAGTCACACAGTCCTGGGTGTGTGGTGAGGACATGGTAAGTGCTGTCACCCGTGATGGAGTCATATAAATGCCAGCCACTCCAATGTCAGCCCTGCCTGACAAGAGGTCTTTCACAACAGCATTAGAAGCCTTCGGTCTGTAATGATGGCAGTATTTCGTATTATGGCTCAATTGATATCTGAACTAAAGGAGCATAAACATATCTTGGATACCACAGAACCAGACTTAACTAATGTTAACTGTTAATGAATTAATTATTAAAAGGCTAATACTAACTCAGCAACTTCATGTTACAGTGCCTTCCTTAAGTGGCTGATACACTGATTATTCATGTAATCAGAAAACTTCCCTTCTATGAAATGTTTATTGCCAAGACAACCAAGACCTTTCATTGAAACCTACCCTGTGGCAACACAATTCAGTTCATATCTTCACAGTCAATTGCCTACAATTTTTTCTAATATTACCTTCTTATTTATACATATCTAGGTCTTGGAAGAGGTCTCATTCCTTGAGCCATCAGTAAAGCTATCCTTGGAACAGGCCATGGAGGCCCATAGAGTTTTGAGATGTTGAGGCTCCCACATTTTCTAGACAGTTGGCTCAGAGATGGCAGTGAAGTTGTCAGCCTTATGTGCCAGCTGCCCTTTAGCCCCAGGAAGATTCCTGGTACTCATTTCTGTTAGATCCTGAGTCGACCCCAGGACCATAGTGGGGCTGAAAGTATTAGATAAATTGAAAAATTCACTGACCTCATCAGGAATCGAACCTGTGACCTTCCTGCTTGTAGCATGGTGTCTCTACCAACTATGCTGTTGTGTGACCATTCTTTGAGCTGTGATGAAGGAAAATTTGAAGGAATTTCTCATTTTTTTGGAGTTTTATATTTCTGACCCAGTTCCTAAATTTTGTTTGGTTCCTACCCACAGCCAGCCAAATCCACTTCCCTTCTTCATTACCTTTGCCTCTAAGACAAATTTTGATATTATACTTCCCACTATGTACCTTTCCTTGAGCCTTTCCAAGTAATGTTTGTATGTACTTTCTGAGTTCATTAAAGTTTTGAAACAGAAGTTTTGTAATCATTTCATTGATCCCCAGTTCAATATGTGCCGCAAGAAACATAAGAACTTTCACCATGCAGTTTTATCAGTTCTGCTATTATTTCATCCCCACAAGGTCTGAATATTCTCCTTGGCATTATCTTTCAAGTGCTTCTTATTTTAAAGTATTGTACTGTGGAAGGAAATTATGTGAGAATTGTGTATCTGTCCACTGTAACTCACAAGAAGAGGGCTTCAGAGGGTTCCACAACACTGATGGAGAAGTTCAGCATCTCACCCAAAAGCCAGAGAAGCCTAATCTCTATTCCATCCCATGAGCTAACAACTTCTTGTCCATTGAAGAACTGCCCCCTGCAACATGGAAGGGTGATTTTAACACAACAAACAGTAGGATTTTAGTTCGGCAAGTGTCAAAAGTTGGTTGACAAATTTTCATTTTATTCTTAGTTTTACAAATCATTGAAGATTATTTACATAAGTGTCCTATGTAACACGTTATTTTAACTCAGCCTCAAAATCTGTAAGTATATTCTGTCCAGGTAAAGGTAAAGTTGTTCCTGGTCTTAATTAATAAAGCACTATGCAATGAAGGTGTATGGGGGAGTGGATGTAGAGATCCACATTTTCTTGACCTTGGCAGTAACTGTAGGCGAGTGGTCAGCTTAACATCCCTACCGCTTTAACCCCAGGTAAAGAGACTCCAGTACCCATTGGATAGGAGGCTGGGTGAAACCCAGAGCCGGTCTGGAAGATGTGGAGAAGAGTAAATTCGTGACCCTACTGGGACTTGAACTCTGACCCCTCGGTTGTCCAGCCCATAGTCAGGTGGTCTACCAACTAGGCTGTCCGAGCTCTGCATAATCTATCCAGTGATTCAGTTATAAATAAGAATGCTTTTCATGATTCTTTTCACCATTAACCCTTCTAGATCCAGTCAATTACTCTTTAAACATTTTCATGCACTATCAGCTGGGGGGGAAGATCTGGATTTAAAACAGCAGGCATCCATCCTTAAAAAATAAAAATACGCCTGAAAAGTCCTATCTTCTTGGTTTAACTCTGTGTTGAAAGGCAACCGACGTTTAGGAGGAACATATCGCCTCCACCTTCAGGGTAAAAGAATAAGTAGCTGTTTGTTACCTGCTTCATGATAGTTTCTTGCTGGGCTTATTCTTCAACCCTGAAGAAGGAGGCGACATGTTCCTCTCATATGTCGACTGCATTTGAATTGACTACATGGCATCATATCTCAGGAAGATGGGATTCTTCATGATCCCCACTGTGAGAACCTCAAATCCTTCCTCGGTAATTCTTCGTAATTCTTTGTTGCTTTTTACTTCAGAAATCCACTTGACGTGACACAGGTTCATGCAGCTAAACTTTTGAAGATTGTTTCTCAATTTGTTTCCCTTCTAGAAGAAAAATAAACTGCGGTAATTTTGCCTGTTCATCTCTGCCAAGTAACTGGAACAGACTACACAAAAAAAAAAAAAACGAAAGCAAACAGGTACAGCTCTATTGCCAATATAATTGTTTTCTGAAAATTTCCTACTCTAATGCTGATATGTCAGTAACGTCCCCAGAGATGCAATTCTTCTGGAAACCCCTTAATGTGTTGCATATATCCCAAAGAGCTCTAATGCTGATATGTCAGTAACGTCCCCAGAGATGCAATTCTTCTGGAAACCCCTTAATGTGTTGCATATATCCCAAAGAGCCTTTCGAGCAACAGTTTGGGAACAACTGGTATAGTTTACCAATGTCATGATATCATCTTGTGTTTCAACAGTGGTTGGTGTTAATTGTGGAGTCTTCTGGGTATTGTAATGATAAATGTAGGAATTAGCCTACCGGGCTACTGACAGTCATCTCACACCAAACTCCTGCTCTCCTAACTGCTGTCGAGTAGAATCAGAGTCACAGTTGCTTTACGACTAGAGGTTAACCCCCAGTCAGTTTTCGTCTTGGCACCAAGCCCCTTGAGGCCTCACGACCAAAGATTTTTTTTTTTACTGAATCCTTGTGGTCATAGTCCTTATGAACCATTCGCTCTGACTAGAGGATGGGTTTATCTTCTATGGATAGGCTTCGCCTCTGTAAAGTGTACGTATCGCACATATGGCACGTTACAGAAAATTCTTCCTTGTGCACTATATACAAGTTCTCTGTCAGTTCCGGCTTTGAAAGATCATACATATCTTATTTATCTCATGCTACAATGGTATCATAGTCACCTGAACGGCCACAAGCTCGACCGTCGCCAAGACTAAACCTCTAATATTTTCTATATCTCGCTTCGCCTTGTTCTATACTGCAAATATGTTCATTCTCATGATTTTGTATCACTACTGCTTGTTGCCCACACAATTTTGTTATATACTCATATACATATGAATGGTTGAAAGCCGTTTGTAAATCGCGGAACGGTGTGCACCTTGGAAAATTTCCAATGGTGCGGAGAACCATGATTTGTAGGCGATTCAATTTTAAGAGGTAGGTGTCTGCGTCAAACTCCAAGGCAGGCCAAAAATAAGTCATTACTAGGGACCGGATTTTTATGCCCTAATAATCCCTTAAATATGTATGCATTTATGCATGAAAAACTTCCGAAATATGCACTAAAATATGCACATAAAAATTTATACCAAATATTGAAATTGATTT